TTCTATTCTATTCTATTCTATTCTATTCTATTCTATTCTATTCTATTGCTATAAATTCTTTAAAGCATGTCTGTGTGTGAGCTTATTATTATTCAATTTTTTCACCCCACTCTCCCTTTCTTGCAGATTGTTAAAAATGGAAGATTTTTTCCCCGAGACTTTTCGCCTGGACACCAAAGACGAGAGAGAAATCTTCTTTGAAATCTACAAAGGTGAACACCAAAGCAGTGGTTCTTCTGTCTCCCTTTCCAAGATCATTACTCTATCTCAGACAGTGGGTTCTGCAAGCAAAGGCAGGAGCGGGTTGGGATTTTGTTATTCAAATGTGGCCCAGAGGGAGGGGCCCAGTCAAGGAAGTGACATCACCTACATGGTGATGTCATTTGCTTGATGATGTCGTGATTCCTGGGGTGTCACAGGCATTCATCACAGGTGGAAAGGCACAGGTAGTCCTGCTTTGCTCCCCAACCTCTCTTGTTACAAGAAGACGAAATAACAGGTGGAAAGAAAATACAGGTAGCCTTCGACTTACAGCGGTTCGCTTAATGACCGTCCAAAGTACAACTGCCCTGAAAAAAGAGACATTTCTCATTTAACGCCCGTTGCAGCATCCCCACGGTCACGCAATCAAAAATTCAGGCGCTGTTCTGAGTGACCTCCTTTGACTCATGCCAGGACTTCAGTGGTGTGGTTGCCTCTGCCATCTTGACTTTTTTGACCACCCCTGGGTGGCCTTTGTACAAAGCTGGGTCTTCCCATGCTGAATTTGACATCCAAAGAGTAACCTCATTGTTCTCTTACAAGGCTGGGCGGCTGCCTTTTCCCCCCAGCGTGATCCTGCCAGCTTCTCGGGCTCTAAACCCCAGGGACTAGCAACTTAAACCGCTTCCTCCTTCTCCGCAGAGCCTCACATTTGGATCTGCAAGCCCACCAGCTCCAACCAAGGCCGAGGCATCTTCCTCCTGAAAAGCCAAGCCGAGGTCCGAACCTTGCAAGCCAAACTCCAAAGCATGGAGGACGAGCCAACGTATAAGAAGCTCCCTTACAAACTGCCTCAGGCACGAATCGTCCAAAGGTAGAGCATCCTCCACGTAGCCCGCCCAGCTATCCAGCTCCCGGCTGGTGAGCGACGTCGGAGCCCTTCTCGGCCCAGAGTTGGGGGGGAATTCAGGCAAGAGACACAGCAGGGCCGTCTCCCGAGGCAGCCCAGCCCATCGGTGGGGAAAGACGTCACCGAATGAGGCCCATGGGCTGAGCCTTTATTTAGTTTTACTGTATTGTCATCGCACCTCCTACAATGAAACTAAGTGCCATCTTCAGTGTACATCGCACGTAAGAAAACTATGAAAAGAAAACAATTGAATTGAAAACCCTCAATACTGCATTAATATTGCACTAGAATTCAACAGAGCTCCTGCCCCTGGGATAGAAGCTGTTTTTCAGCCTATTTGTCCTTGTTTCTATTGTCCTGTACCGCCTGCCAGATGGTAATAGTTTAAAAAAAGGGTCCCCAGGATGAGATGGATCTTTAAGGATGTTTTGAACTTTCTTGAGGCAGCAGGAACTATAAAGCTCTTCCAAAGAGGGGAGAGGGCAACCAATGATCCTTTGGGCAATGACGTTAAACCCTCTGGAGTGCTTTCCTATCTACCACGGTAAAATTGGCAAACCAGACACAGGTGTGCAGTAAATTAAAATACTCTCTATGGTGCAGCAGTAGAAGGTCGCCAGCAGTTTTTCATTCAGTCTCAGGTAGTATCATCTCTGCTGGGCCCTTTTGACCAGGGCTGCAATGTGGGCACCCCAGTCAGGTCCTCTTTTAGGGGAACACCCAGAAACTTAAAACTGGCCCCTTGCTCCCCTCGGCCTCCATTGATAAGCCAGGGCTGGATGTCTGATCTGTTCTGTCCATTATAAGCTCCTTGGTCTTATTGGTGTTGAGGACCAAGTTATTTTCTCCATACCACGAAAGCACCCAGTCCGTCTCGATAAGCAGACTCATCCCCCCCACCCACACCCCCCAAGAGATGAGTCTATTGTATCACCTGCAAATTTAATAATAGTATTACTGACGTTGACTAGGAAAAGTAGGGAGAGAAAAGCAGGAGATAATTGAAAGATAATTTCCATCTTGGAAGTTGTGGAGGGCTTCAAAGAGGCCGACGGGCTGCGTTGTGTGAATTGAACGTAGCAGCAGCAGCAGCAGCAGCTGCCTCAAACCCTTTTGGATGCAGGAGCTATTTTAGATTCCAGAGAAAACCCTTTTTAGTGGTTAATTATAGCCTTTGGAAAGGAGAGCCAGGGTTGCATTGGAGAAAGGGAGAACAAATAATAATAATAATAATAATAATAATAATAATAATAATAATAATAATAATAATACCACAAATCCTTTGGCATCGCTGCTGTGGAAAAAAAGAAATTGCACCTTGTGGAAAAACAGCACGGGGACCCTGAACCCAACTGGTGGGCACCTGGCACCAAGAACAGCCCCATGGGGGTTGTAGTCCTGCACGATCCAGGGAGTTAAGTGTCCAGGTGACTTAGAAACAACCGTTTTATTTTCGGCCAGCTCACCTGCCCTTCCTTCGCCTCAGGTACATCGACCGTCCGCTGCTGCTGGAGGGGAAAAAATTTGACGTCCGCTCTTACCTGTTGATCGCCTGCACCGTGCCGTACATGGTCTTTTTCGGCCACGGTTACGTCCGCCTCACCTGCCTCAACTACGACCCCAAATCCAATGATCTCACTTCTCACCTGACCAACCAGGTGGGAATTGCCTTGGACCCAACCGCGGAATCTCACCATTTTAGAACGTAACAGAAGAGAACATAGGAATAGGAAAAAAATAGAAAAATTTTTTTTTTTCCTATTATTGCTTCATTGTTTGGTATTCCTTTTAACTTCCATGTTTGGGCAATGAATAATCTTGCAGCTGTAATAATATGAATGATTAGGTATATATCTGCTTTAGATTATTTTTCCTGAAGGGTCCAGGTGCCAGATCAAAAAAAGAGACACCAGATCAAAAAAAAAAGAGACATCACTGGCAAACAGAGCCATCTGGAGCAGGTGTGGTTTCCTTCAGCTCTGCCCACTAGGCATTGTCTCTGGGCACCTGTTGCAGTGACCAAGCTATTGCCTTTGTGTTGCCCAATTCAGACGGCTTGTTGTTTGGCTCTGCGTTAAAGACAGCCGTTGGCACCGGATGCTCCGCAAAGACTCCTGGCTCCCCGCCCCAAAAAAAGATGTTCTGCTGGGTTTTATTTTGTCTTTTTTATTTGTTTCTTTTTTTTAAATTCCCCAGAGACCAAGTTTATCTCCTGGAATCCAGCAGGGTTTGAAATCTTGCCCAAGTGGCTGACAAACTCCCTATTCCTCCCCCGCCATCCCTTTTCTCTTTGGATCCAGCTTCTCTTCTCTAAGGCTGAATGCTTTGCCCAGGGAAGTAGAAATGGATTTGGAAAGCAAAGTGCTGGGTTTTTTGGGGGTTTTTTTAGCTTCTGCTTTTTGTCCTCTGTGGAATTTAGCAAAGCAGTCTAAGCAAGAGGGGAAAATACTAAATTTGGCCTCAATTAAGAAGTTAAATAGTTAATAAGATTAAATGCAGCTAGTTGAAGAAGTCTCCCTGTTTAAATATCTCCCTCTCCCTGTCTCTCTCTCTCTCTCTCTCTCTCTCTCTCTCTCTCTCTCTCTCTCTCTCTCTCTCTCTCTATCTATCTCTTCCCCCCTCTCTCAATCTCTTTCTCTCTCTCTGTCTTTTCTTTTTTTCTTTTTGCAAGAGCTGAGATTTTTCAATCAACTTCCCCCGTCTTATCATCCCTTGGTTTCTAGCCTGCCTGTTAGTCAAACTCTCCCTGGGAAGCCTCAAAAAAAACAAAAAAAAACACAACCCAGAGCATTTGAAATTCGTGTAATTTTAGCAAGTGTCCAGGCAGAGACCCAAAGTAAATGCAACCCTCTTTCTTGCTGTGGTTGTGCATCCTCCAACTGGAATCAAGGAACAGAGGCAAAACAGGAGAAAAAAAAAGAAAACATCTTTTTTTAAAGCCGGCGATGCTCGTGCCATACAGACAAATGAATGGATAGCAGAAACGGGGAAAACCCAGAGTCAATTCGGGCTTGAGGCTTGACCTGAGCAATCACCTATCCGAGCCACAATTTTTATTTTTATTTTAATTTCTCCCTCGCTCAACTTTCAGTACGTGCAAAAGAAGAGCCCCATCTACTCCCACGTCAAGGAGGAGACGGTATGGCTGATGGAGCGCTTCAACAAGTACGTCAACGAGAAGTTCAGACAAGCCAAGGGGCTCCCCAGAGATTGGGTCTTCAACAGCTTTACCGTAAGTTTTCTGTTGATTAAATCCATCCTTACTTTTTCCCTTGGGCTGCTTGTTAAGGTCAGTGGCGAGGGAGGCATAGCACACAAGGAAAGGTGGCTGGGGAAGGAAGAGGAAAAAGGCAGGTGCATCCGTTCTCTCCTAGAACGCCTAATGGGAATGAGATTAACTTAGTTTAGGTAGCTGGGTAGAGTTAGGGAAACCAGACTAAATAGAAGATCTAGAAATGATTATTTTCTGAGAGTGTCAACAGAAGATAGCCTCAGGCCGAACTTGTCTGGCCTAAGAATCTGAGAATCCCATACTTGAAAAGGAGACCACCAGAAAAGACCAGATCTGTAAACTAGTTCAGAGGTCTCCAAACTTGGCAACTTCAAGACTTGTGGACTTCAACTCCCAGCTATGCTGGCTGTAGAATTCTGGGAATTGAAGTCCACAAGTCTTAAAGTTGCCAAGTTTGGAGACCTCTGAACTAGATTGTGAAGGCCGAAAACCCCCCCACAGAAAATCACTCCCAGATTTTTCCTGAGAAAATGGGTATAACTCTAAAATTACAAAGTGAGCCAGGATTATTCTTACCATTTTATTTGTGGAGGATATTGAAATCCGTATTTCATCCCGACTCTATGAACGTTTCCCAGGAGTGGGTGGGTGGGTGGAAAAAAAATCAATGGAACAGACAGTTTTAGAGAAATATTTCTCCAATTTGGCAAAATGTAGGACACGGGGGTTTTCACGCTGGCTGGGGAATTCTGGGAGTTGACGTGCACACATCCTAAAGTTGCCAAGTTGGAAAAAATCTTATAACTGCTCTATATCTTGCAGTTTGGGTTTGGGTTTTGGTTTTTTTTTTCACCCCTTACCTTTAGCAAATGTATTCTCCGGAAAAGAAGTCTTGGGTAATATATTTTCTTCAAAAAGGGGAGGCTCTGTTTTTGAGGGGACCACCCCCCTCCAATATTTGTCTCCTGTGCTTTGCAGAAGAGAATGAAAGAAATCATGTTACAGTGTTTTCTCTCCGTCAAATCCAAGCTGGAGTGCAAACTGGGTTTCTTTGATCTCATCGGCTGTGACTTCCTAATCGATGAAGATTTTAAGGTACCCACCTGCAATTTGGGGAAGGAAAGATCCCCCCTCGCCCCCCCAGCTCCCATCCCTGACAATTTCTCTACATCTTCAAACATATAAAAGTGAACTGCATAAGCTAGATTTTATCTCCCCTGTGGTTAATTAATCGCTTTGCAAACTCCCCGGAGAGTCAATCTGTCTCTTTTACGGTCCTCTTTTTTTTTCCCCAAGATCTATTAGTAATCGTAGATCTCCTTGTTATTCTGGATTAATTGCCACCGATGAAAAAGCACCGTTTCATTTTCGCCGAGTTGCAAACTCATTACACAATTGTGGGTAAGGGTGCCTGTTTGCTTTGCATCCATCCAGCCTGGTTTGCGCCTTTTGTCTTGTGTGTGGTGGAAATCCAGGAAAATACGTCCATTCTGTTATCAGCTTAAGTTGGCCCTATGGGGACATTTCGGGGGCGAAGGATGGGGGTTTCCCAAAGGCACCACCTGTTTCTGCAAAGATCATCATCTCCCTTAATTTTTTTCCCCTTCCCACTTACCTCTTGCTAGCCAAAGAAACAAAAACTTAGCAGAAATTGGAGTGGAATTCCAGCGTCACCCAGTGGCGAAAAAAAAACAACACACAAAATATTTTCAGGGGTATTGTAGGCCTCAATTTAACCAGTGTCACCCAAAGGGGATTTTTTGGGGGGGTGTTCTGTACGGACATTACCATTCTCGAAATCCGGCAGCCCGGATTGGTCAAAGCACGCAGCCACCGGATTGGTCAAGTGCGCGGCACTGATTGGCCGTTCGGAATCGACTGCGATTGGCTGAGGCAATCGTGGGCGATTCGAACGGTTGTCATTGGCCGCAGCGCCCGGCACCAGATCCATTTAAGCCGCGGTTTTTCCCCATTGACCCCACTTGTGTTTCCCACCAATAAATGAGCTGAACCAAGTCACTGGGCTTGCGTCCTTTGTCCGTATCGGCGATACGGCAGGGGGGGCAACTGGAGTTTCTGGGTTTTTGTCGTCATTGTTTTGACAATGTTTTGCTTCTCATCCGAGAAGCTTCTTCAGTTCTGACTGGATGGTCAGGGTTTCCCCACCCTTCAGTCAGAGCTGAAGAGGCTCCTTGGATGAGAAGCCAAACGTCTTCAAAGAAAAACCAGGAAGTCCAATTAACTCTTGGGGAAAAGAAAAAAGAAAAAAGCCCTTTTGGGACAACCGTGACTTGGACAACTGAGAATCTCCCTATAGACATAACTAGTATTTACGTTCACAGGTGTGGCTCTTGGAAATGAACGCCAACCCTGCATTGCACAGCAACTGCACGGCGTTGAGGACCGTGATTCCCACGGTGGTGAACGAGACGCTGGGTAAGTTGCCGAACTTTATTGGATAGACCATGTTGGTACTGAAGAATCGAAACCAGCTCTGGTTTCCTGCACCCAACGCTTGCCCTGTTAAAAACAATCCTTTCTCCTTCTCCCCCACCCCTGGTTGATCAAACCTGCATTCAGTTTTGGTCGCCACGATGGAAAAAGGATGTGGAGACTCTAGAAAGAGTGCAGAGAAGAGGATTAGGGGACTGGAGGCTAAACCCATACGAAGAACGATTGCGGGAACTGGTTATGACTAGTCTAGTGAAGAGAAGGACTAGGGGAGACAGGATAGCAGTCTTCCAACATCTCAGGGGCTGCCCCAAAGAAGAGGGAGTCAAGCTATTCTCCAAAGCACCTGAGAAGGCAGGACAAGAAGCAACGGATGGAAACTAACTAAGGAGAGAAGCAACCTAGAGCTAAGGAGGAATTTCCTAACAGTTGGAGCAATTAATCAGAGGGACAACTTGCCTCCAGAAGTTGTAAATGCTCCGACGCTGGAAGTTTTAAACAAGAGATTGGATAACCATTTGTCTGAAGTGGTGTAGGGTTTCCTCCCTAAACAGGGGGTTGGACTAGAAGACCTCCAAGGTCCCTTCCAACTCTTGTTATTCTATTCTAAAATTCCCCATGATGAGAGGGCCTTTTGTCGTGCAAACCGTCCCCCTCTTTCTTGAGCAGGATCTCTGCCTACATTCTCCACATCCCTTTTCCCTCCCCTTCCTTGGCAAGTTGAAAAGCATTCGGTGTGAAAGAAGCAAAGCAGAGGTTCAGTCCTGACCAACACACACACACACCCCTCTTGATTTCCTCTCCGCTTTCAGATCTGACCCTCGAGATCTTCACCAAGGCTCAGAAAAACCAGAGCATCCTCCCTCTGGACTCCCTCTGCCATTTTGGCCTCCTCTACAATGGGACGGCGTCCAACAACGGGCTCCCCCAGCCAGCCAAAAGCAAGACGTCCCTCTGTTCTCTCAAGATCCCCCGGGCCAGCCTGGAGAAAGCCGCCAGGAGCAGCAGCCCCGGCCTGCCCAGCCCTCCGCTGGACAAACAGCCGCCCGCCAAAATCCCCGAGAAGCTGCCGAAGGCAGATAGCAAGGGAGACAGCGTGGGGGAGCCCTCTGGCGCTCCCGAAGGGCTGGCTGCGCCCCCCAGCAAAGGCGCCCGGCGAGATCCCCTCCCCATGCCTCAGATCCAGATTTCCATCGTCCCCAGCCTGACCTGCTGCCCTTCCGTCAAAGCCATCCTCCGGGGACATCAGGTCTGCACCAGCGGCAACCAGTACATCATCAAACCCGTTCCGGCCGCCCCGGATAAAGCCGAGGGCCCCGAGGAGCAGGCCAAGGCCCTCAACCTCTCCCGCGGGAACGCCAAAGATAAGTCCTACACCACCTGGTTCCAGCAAACCTTTGGGACCAAGCTGCCTCCGGCCAGCGACCACAGCGACGCCGAGAACCCTTTGACCAGCTCCCAGATGGTCTCCCTCCATCTTCAGTCTGACTTGCCGCCCAGTGGCCTGCTCCTCCCAGACTTCCCCAAGTCCTTCTCCCCACTCGTGGTGAGCGTCAAGAGGCCGGCCGCGGCCGAGAGCAAGACCAGGGTCCTAGCCAGCAGCCACAGTTGCCGGGAATCGCTCGCAGAGGAGAAAAAAACCTCCCACCGGGGCTCTTAAAAAAACGCCGGACCGCTGCTGGTGTTTGTTTCCCCAAAGTCCTCGTTCTCTTTTTCTTATAAAGAACAAAATCGGGAAGGAAAAGAAGGCCAGAGAAAATACCTTTCTTTCTGATGCGTTCCAGCATTTTTTTTGGCAAGGTCTGGTGGGTGGGCACGGTGTCTTTTATTTTTATTTTTATCCGGGCCTCTTAAAACATTTCTCAGAAAAAAAACCACAGGGAGAAATACTGTATTTGCTAAAAGCCAATAGCTAATTTTTTTTTTTTTAATCCGTTGAGCCTCGGAGAGGTTTCTGGGTTCTGCTTTTCTACCCCTCCCCCCACTTAGCCCCTTATTTTTTTTCACACACCCCTCCCCCCACCCCAAGACTTACGGCCACACAAATGGGCTCGATTAACAATTCCCATCCTCCCAAGGAAGACCAAAATAATGGGTGGCTTCAAAGATTTGATTTTGGACGATGATCTCTCTCCAGTCCAACTCTCCAGTTCTGGATATGAGACATTCCAAAGATACCAGACTGAGGTCTTTTGGTAGGTGATGATGCATTATGGGGAAATCACGTCACATACGTGAGACCATTATGGATGAATAATATACAGCCCATAATAATAATAATAATAGACTGTATCCTAAACTGGAGTCAAAATGCCCAGAATCCAGTTTATTTCAGTAGGCCTTTTGGCAATGGCTACAACCATCTGCTTCATGAAGTGGGTTGAAAGACCAGTCTGTGGGACGAGCCACCAACAGAACAAACTGTCTTCTAATTATTGGCCGTTTCCTTCCTGTGCCACCTAGGAGTTGGCTTCTCTTTTTCTGCCTCATCCTCAGCTCCCGCACCACCAACACCACCAAAAAAGATCTTGCAGGCCAGCTTCCAAAAGGCTACAGCCTGCCCTGCAGTGTTGGGACAGAGGTTGGGCACCCTTCCCGGTGCTTTATCCAGGGTTCGGCCTGCTCCCAGCATGCTCCCTATGTGCTAGGTACTATTCCGGGATGCCCAGGCAGACGTAACTTGAGAGACTCGCGGCAGTTCACACAACTGGCGATTCCAGCCCTCCTTCCCAATCCTTGCAGGATCATGATTGGTGGCACCATCTTCCTGGCCTCTCCACCTTTTCCCCGCCCCTGTGTGGAATCTGATTTTGCAAATCCAGCCGCAGGTTCCAGTTTGCAAAGAGTTGCGTGAAGGCAACCAAGATTCCCAACTCCCGCGTGGGAAAATGAGCTTTCCGTGAGATTTCGCCTCCCGCTAAAGAATGTATGTGGTTATTCTAGCTCACGCAATCACCTTTAGAAATCTCTCTATACATCATCCATGAGGGACGAAGTAAGCAGCTGCGGTCATCAAGAGGTTAAAAACCTTGAACTGCCTTCCTCCTTCATCCTTGTGAGTCCATCTCTCCTAAATTTTATTACACCCATGACAATAACCCATTGGGTGCAGTGATTTTAATAAACACCCAAAACACCAAGGAACTCTTTGCAATGCTAAATCCTGAAGGATTTGGGATTGGTGCAAATTAGGCTCTTTATTCCTAGAAGGCCGCCCTTCTCCTGCAAAGCTAAGACATTCAGAAAAGGAACAATTTGCCTCTACAAATCTCCCTGTTTGTAGCTTCACCACCCCAAAGGAGAGCAAAACAAGACTTCAGGAATCAAAGTCTGTCTGGTTTTGTAAAGGAGGCACACAAACAAAAAATCAAAGCTCCACACTCCTTTTTTAACATTTTTTACTGTTTATTTGACAAGGAGGCTCTTACTTCGTCCCAAGGGTAGCTCTGCAAAGCTTCAGAAATTAGCATTTCCTTTGGGGCAGGGCGACCACGTTTGAAAGCAAAAAAAAAAAACAGGCCAACACGGAAGGGGTGTTTGTGTGTGTGTGTGTGTGTGTATGAAAATGCAACCCATTTCAAGAAATGTGTTGGAGCAAAACAAAAAAAATGTGTTTAGGAAAGCTGGTTGATTCATCTTTCAGGGACTTCCAAGCTGACTTGTTTAACTTTGTTAGAAATAAAACTGGGACGTGAAATATTCGTGCTGTTGAAAATTGCACAGGGAGACGGTTTTGTGGGAACATATTATCTGGTAAAACGGTGAGACAATCCAGGTTGGGGGGGTGGGGGGGGGGAAGAATAAAATCCAGACACCATTTTAATTTAGCCTTCAACACATCAGATTCTTCTTGAGATCTACCCTATTCTGTGACTCCAACTCTGGCCTCAAGTCAGGAGATCGATGTTTTGTTTTGTTTATTCAAATCCTCAATTAGCAGATCTACTCTGAAACAGAAAAATTCAATGTTCTCATCTCTGAAAACAAGGACAGGAATGGGGCTCACTTGTGACTCAGGCGTATAATTTTCTCTACGGGGCCAAAATGTCCACAGAGACCTCCTTAAGCTTCTTAAAAGCCAACCGTTCGTTTTCACCCATCACCCGAATCTGGAGAAGAGATTTACGTCCCAGAGAGGTAAGCTGTGATACTTGGGCGCCTGCGCTCATTTGCCAACTAGCCTGAGCTTTCAGTGGACCACTGATGCCCAATGAGAAGTTATCTCGTAGTACCTTCTCCCCACGTTTTTCCTCTGGGAACTGGCAGCTGAAGGTATCTTCTGGGTCCAGTTGAGTTCTTAGCAGGTCTGGAGGATAAATGGATTTGGATTCTGTAAGAGAGAAACACATCAAAAATATATAGAAGGAGATCGCTGGCGGGATCTACCTTCTGAATCCCAGTCATGAAAATGCAAGGAACACTCAGAGTCAACCTGAAGTTTGCCCAGGACTCCATAGCTAATCTAGGATGTTGAAGCTTCAACTGTAGCATCTTCAGCAGTCGCCGTTATAACCACCTCGACCTTAATGTCTTCCAAAGTTACTGGGCTGCAATTCGCTCCAACATCTGGACTGGGTAGCATGCAACATGTGGACAAACCCAAGCCCTTCAGATGTGGCAGAGCTAATTCTCTGAAAGGCCAGCCACCGTGTCTGAGGCTAGAAGTTGTGGAACGTCTACCGAAGGGAGGCTCTGCCTCTGTAAGCCAGTTGAGGGAAGAAACGATGCAAAGCCCGATATGGAAGCTCACAACGGAGCAAATAAGGTTGCAGAATCCTGGAAACTGGAAATAGCCTCAGAGATCAACATTAAAGGTAGGCCTTCCCTGATCTTCCTTCAAACTATCTCTCGGTTTGCAGCGTGGGGACCTACGCCGCCCTCATCACAAGGGACATTCCCTGAGCGACGCGGTGGAGCTCGGCCACGAAAAGGCTGACTTTTCGGATGAAAGTAGGTGGGGGGGAAAAGGCAGCAGGCAGGAAATACAACAAGGGCTGCGAAACCTTGCCAAAAAAAAAGGGGGGTGGGGGTAGTTGTGCGAATTCAGCAGCAAACACAAGGCTTGGCTTTGCAGGTGCCCCTCCACACACACCTGTGGGCTTTTCATGTGAGTTTTTACCCGTTTCCTTCCCAGCCAAACCCTGTCACTGGGTTTCAATGTAGGGGAAGATCTGTGGTTTGGTTTGTTTTTTTTCTCACTCTTTCTGCCCCTCTTTGTCTCTGTCTCTCTCTCTC